TGTTTGACATGACCAAAGCCGCTGGACAACTCATGTCACGGACAATTTTAAGGAAACCATTACACACGTATTATTGGCTCCTGTGAGCACGAAAAGGAAGAAAACTAGACCCACCCCACAATTCGGAAGATGGCTCAGTTGGCGGCTGTATCCACTCAGTGTCAACAAAATATTCAGATACATACAGCATGGCCGGATATTACTGTAAAAGTCATGACGAAATTGGGCTTGGTAGTTCAGCACAGATCTGGGCACGTTATTTTGATCTAATAAGTGCATCTAATTCAGAGAAAGCCTTTTACTAAGGCTATTGATTGCTAGTAAGGTTATTAGGAGGGTTTTGCAGATTTGAATAATTCAGTTGAACCAATTGTGTAAAATTCGCGGCCTCGGTGTGAGTCGAACTCACGCAGCAGGGGAAGCTTTTGCGCAACCAACGCTCCACCGTTGAGCTACGAGACTCACCGTGAGCCGTGAAGTTAATCACGCTTGTGTCGATTTACCCGCCCAACCTACTGCTAGTGTGGAATCCACCCTTACAGATACAGTAAGCAGAATACCCAGAGAGAATTCCATACGAATAGTAGGTTGAGCGGGTAAATCGATCCAAATGGGATTAAATTCACGGTTCATGGAGAGCCTCGTAGCTCAAAGGTAGAGCGTTGGCTACACAAAAGCCTGCCCTGCGGTGTGGGTTCGACTTACACTGAGGCTGCGAAATTTTTACAGTTGGGTCAACTGTATTAGTAAGGTTTTTGTGCATGCGGTAATGCCAGTTTGCGAAAAATTATCAATTTTTTTTGCCGTACTGTAGATAAGATGCGCCGAAAGGCAGGAAAGAAATCGGCATCAAAGTATTTCACAAGCAAATCCTAATATAGCTGGTGAAGTTAACAAGCCCATTATTATCACCGTCGATGAGACAGCAAAAAGACGAAGGAGAAAAAAAGGACATACAGACAATTCCGTGGAGATACGGTTAATAGTATCCTCCAAAGACTTGGTCATCATGTCTATCTTCTCCTTGGAAGCCATGGTTCCGTCATGTATCCTGGCGTGCACAAGTTGTAGATCTGCAAAACAGGGTAGTAGGATTGGTTGTGTAAGGTACGCATACGTGTCTACTAATTACATAGGAAAAAGCGAATTGCACGCGCTATAGTTTTGCAGATCGATTCAAGGTTAACAAACCCACAAATAATATTTAGAGACGTGGAGGGAGCAAGGATTAGGCAATAACAATGTACACATATACTGCTGGATTGGCGCTCACCCATCGGTTACGGGACTCACTCTTCGAGTTCTGCCTTGGAGTCAACTTTAGAGTCCGACCAGCAGCAGTACAGAGACTATTAGTATAGATAGAATAACAGTATCGACTACCGAGTAAGGGATTTTGACAGAGTCGCATAATTCATTTGACCTACCGAGGCCACCGAGTTTTCACAAGCGGGTCAAGCTAATAACCGACAAAGACAAGGGAGGCTGGAATGGCCATTTCTGGCTTATTAGCTGACATCAGCCATTCACAGCCCCTAAGGCTCGAACCAGTGAACTGTTGGTTAGAAGTCCAACACTCTAATCAGTGCGCCACCGGCTCGTTGTCCTAACGGTTTTGGATCGGGAATATTAGTGCCCACCGATCGGTAAGGACTCACTCTTCATGTTTTGGCTCAACGGTTAGAGCGTTTGACTTTAAACCAACAAGTCACGGGTTCAAGCCTCGGGTTGTGCACCATCTGGGATTAGGTATAACTGGCTGGCTGATGGCTAATAAACCAGAACAAGGCCATTCCGGTCTCCCTGGTCTTTGTCGGCAACGTTCATCTGTCTATATTACAAGCTGCTATGCGGCTGCAGGCAGGGCCCCAGGGGCATAATTGGAACCCTTATATCCAGTAATTCGAAAGGTGAGCGCCTCTCCACCATTTCTTGAAGATTTTGATGGGCACTTACTGCGGAACCTATCAACTGTGAACATTAAGTAGTTGCTGATGTACGTAGAACGCTGTGACACTTTCGCCGTCGTACTCGCTGCCAGGAGTTTCAGTACTACAGTAGTTAGGTTCTGGGCAGTTGAGATGATTTGAACTGGAATACTTGCTGCATAAGTCACAAAACCGAATGTATTGGGGACAATTTTCAATGTTTCCATCACCAAAAGTTACATAAAAGTGTTGCGACAAGCCAGTCGAACCAAGCCCTTCAAAACTAATTACCCAGAAAAATGATCAAATCAAAGACAAAGTCCAGACCTGGATACTTTTAGGCATGTTTCAGCTATCTTTTATTTAAAGCCAGCTCACATTGTTGGAGGCCAGTCTTGAGGATGACATCTAGGTCCTTGAGGAGCAGTTGAATGCCGTTATTGAAGGCGGGAACAAGGACACCGCGCAGTTCCTCACGATAGGCCGTGGAGAGACTTGGCGCAACGGCACAGTTGATGTGACCAGCTAGGTATTGCGCAAATTTCTGTTGAGATAAAACAGAGACGTGAATAGAGAGGGAGGGCGACAGAGAATGGGATAAAAATATCACAATTGCAACACTGTTTTATCTGAAATAAATCTGAACAAGGCCAGGGCGACGTAATGCGCGGTATTTAATGAATACGCACTTGCTACCACTTGACGTGCGATGCTTGTTTACAAAGGTGTCACTGAATGAAATCAATGGCTTAATCGGTGAGCCCACGGATGAAACCTGTTTGAAGGCAATACAACTGTGGTAACTACAATTGCCGCGTACTAAGAACATTCATTTTTGGTCCATGGGCAGTTGCACTGACAGCGCAGCTATGGGCAGTCAGTTAGGGCCAGTCTTTGCGAACATTTTGATAAGTAGAAAGAGCGTTTACCAGGGGAGGTCTAGTTGGTACCTGACGTTTCGGATATTTGTCTCGTCTATCCATCTCGCTAGATGCCGCTTTTTTCTTCCACGTGCGTAGTTTGCCAGTCACGACTGAGCTGCTGCGTGTGTCTCGCGTCTCGCTATCGGTTTCCGTGTTGACCCTGTATGCAACTGGGGCGGCAGTGTTTATTTGGTCCCCTACCATGAAACAACTATCCGAAAGGTCAGATACCAACTAAAAGCTCTTTCTCCTTCTGACTTACCACCTGGCAATCGAATTTTCACGAACATTTTCATGTCCATCTGCGAGCGCAACGCAGGCGAAAACTTAAAGCGAGCTGTATGCTATAAGCGAGACAGTAACGCCATCTATGTTACAGTCCATAGCCCAATTGAGGGGCAATAAAAACTCGAGGCCATGAACAAAGGATACACAAAGATCAGATTTAAGATCCAATATGAGAAGAAGAACATGCAGCCGTTCTTAGACGCCCTTGTACTGCGGCGAACAGACGGTTCCATCCACAGATCCGTCTATCGAAAAACCCATTCGGAAGACACAGTACATACACTTTCCTAGTTTTGTTCAACCTCGCGGAAAAAAGAAGTTTTTGTTTTCAGCCAGTATATTAGCATTTCTGGCAAAGACACATTCGACTGGAATGGGTCTTTCTGGTTCCTAAACCGTCATCAGACGATCACGCCTCAACTTAAGGTGGTGCACCAGCCGAGGCTCGAACCCGGCATCTGTTGAGCAGAAGTCTAATACCCTAATCATTGAGCCACGAGTTCGCTGTCTTGCCATGAATATTGAAAGTACTGGCAATATCAATTTGCCTAAAATACTTGCCACTCTGTAGCTGCTGGCGGGGCTCTAGAGTGCGTGATGCTCATATGCGATCAATGACGAAATCCGTTTCCAGAAGCATGTTTTTCTGGTTGAAAACGGGTAGCCGAAGAAATTCCTCCACAAGCATCGACATCGAAGTCGGTCAGCACTTATCTACCTCCCTCTCAAGGGTGACCACACAGCGGCGTCGATGTACCATTGAACGGACGTACGCCACATCTAGCTTGTCGCTTATAAAAACTACAATGGCTATTCCAGTTAGATCAAACAAAGACATTTTGACTAAGCGCGTCACATCAAATTGCATCTATCAGTTTACATGTGTTTGCAGATGCAAACTTATGCGGTGCATAAAAAGAGAATAAGCAACTCGGTCAGCTGAACATATGCCGAAATGGCTACGACAGGCTGAAAAGGAGGCGCCGTTGTGAAACATTTGGTAGACTCCGACAAAGTGTATGAGCCAAAGACTGCATCTAAAGTCACAGTATGAGCGCCGGCTGGGTGTCTCATGGGCTTTGCAGAAGCCGCAGACAGATCGATCACGTGATCAAGCTGGTACTGTCATGGTAAGGGTCGACGAACACACCCGCTTCGACAACCTAACTTCTCCTCTTCATGCCCCCCCCCCGCATTTTAGGTCAACGTTGATGATATATGAAATAATCGCCACCTGACTGGAAAGTTCCACGTTATGCAAACGTAAGCACACTTGACGAATTACTGTTTACCTAGACATCTCCCTCCTCAATCGCTCTCACAATGTCTACCCATTAGTTAGAACAACATTCCATGCTTTTGTTAACCAATCACGTTTACCCTTCTAGGTCGGCGTTCGATTGGCCAGTTTATCTTGTCCAATGGCAGTTGGATCGAATGCCATGAAACTGCAGGAAGTAATTAAATCCTGCCCATTTCGTCCTCTTTGTTTTTTCAAAAAGGAGCACGACGCACGGAATGAGTAACAAGCAAACAAGGGGAAATGCAGACGCACCGGGTCGTTCAAAACACGCATCATCTGATCGGCAAGCATGGAGGGTAGATTTCGAACTGCATCCTCAATAGTGCGTATCGCACTCTGTCGCAGGGGCTCCACCATCTTGGGTGTATCTGAAGAGGAGAATGAAGAGCTGAGATACAGGACGCCGGGAGGGCACAGCATACTCCTCAACACAAAGGTATCAAAACGGTCTAGACCTAAATTAAATGAACAGGAGGAAGAAACATAGAATCCCCATAGGGAACCCAAGATCCTACAAGAGGCACTCCACCGCAAGGTAAGCTGGTTCTAATGCCTGCAGGGATGTTGGAGGTTTAGGCAGGTCATCACAGGCCGTCGTGGAATGCCTCTGTCACCTTCGCAACCAAGATCCCGGAATAGAATGTTGACAATGATGAACCCATAGCCATATGACTCAACCGCCTGGCGCAAAGCCGCGGGTGAGGCCAGACGGTGCCGTATAAACAGTAAAAAAAGTGAAATCGACTCCTCAAAAACAGGCGGATCTTAAAGCTTTAATAAGTCTGTCACGAGGATAATAGAGTTCAAGAAGTCAAGATAGGCGAACGAACGTTTTCGATTAATTCATCATC